CTGTAATTAAAAAAAATACGTATAAATAATACTTCTGTTTTGTGCACATATATAATATTACTTTGCTATCCTAGAAAAAACTAAATAGTAAATTGAAAATTAATTTTAAAATAATTTATGAAAGACAAAACATCACAATTTGCAAAGTGACTATCATACAATTGTTTTGTAAAATTGGAGTTTTCAAAGGACAGAGAAATTTGCAGGTAAAACTAGTAAAATATTCCTTGAGTCTATGCATTTTGCACTAGAAGTTATAAGAATTTCATCAGTGGTAACATTTTTATATAGCTCCAAAATCGCAATGATGTTGACTTGTCACCTACTGCAGTTTAAGGATATCTTTGCTCTAAAACATACAAAAAACAGAGTGCAGGATTATAAAGCAAAGTTAATGAAGATGAAAGTAGGAAATTTCTAGCTTGAGTTCCCTTAAAACATTAATTTCATGTTCCTTGTCACTTATTAATTGCTGTTATTTAATACTGGAGATATTTTACCACTAATATTTTCAGATAGAGGTCAAAATTATTAGTTTCAGTATTTTAGTCAGCTAAACTGACATATAAGATATAACTTTATACAATAAAACTACTGCTAAACAATAAGAAAAATGTCAATTGCTTTTAGATAGTTAAGGCTATTTCAGAATATTACCTTGATATTCTGTCTAAATTTGGAAAATAGCTATTTTGACTATGTAGATAATTCCGTTTGGCAGTCATAGCTATATTTTTAAAAATAGGATTTACAACCATATTACCAAAGGTTATTAAAAATTTACTATAGTCACATGAACAACTTAAAACAATCAAATGTGACCATGTGAAATACAGGCAGTTTAACTAATTTATATTGAAAGATCCAGCCATAAAACCAGGATATTTTTTGATTTATTTAAACAAAATCAATTATTAAAATAAGTATTAAATTAGAGTGGCATTTTCCATAAGCCCTAAAGTCAAGGTATAGATGTTTAAAGTAATATTTTAGTAGTACAAAGATGCACGTAGCAATGTTTTGTGACTAACTATGCAGATCAAAAACTGTTTATTGGTTTATCACTGACAAAGTAACTCCACCTTTCTTTGTTCCAGTCACTGAAATGGGCAGGCTGAAGTAGTGTGTTTGAATTTGAGTAGGAATGCAGTTGTGATATTCTATGAAATATTTCACTAGCTAATTTTCAGCAAGCATTAATTGCCATGCTACCTTAAAAACAGATTTGGGTAAGAGTATTTTAAAAATAAAGAGCCATGTATTTTTTTGATAATTTTGCTTTTGGAAGGAGCAAGCAGTAGAAGTGTGATATTCAAATTCTAGACTTAGTCACATTATATCTATATATTACACTCTCATTCATGCACACAGTTTTTCTTTCCACACATATAATTTATAGTCACAACAGAATTTTGATTCATTCCAGTTTGTCTATATACATGTTTGATTTAACGGGAAAAAATAATCTAAGTTTTCTAAAAACAATTCTTAGGAATGCCAAATATATCTCTCTTATTCTCCTTGATTAAGTACATTTAGTTTCTAGAAGTAGACTGAGAAAATTTTCTTAACATGTTAATTTAATTTTGTTCAAAGACTTTTATAGAAAATAATTTGTCTGAAACGCTGACATTAAATTGTTATAATTAGAAAGTAAACTATGATTACATCTTGCATCAATTATAAATTAGAATCATCCTTATAGTTTATCCAGTACACAAGAAATATTGAGAAAAAAATTTTAAGGGTTTAAATATCTGAATGTTAAATGATTATATTTTATAAATAAGTATTTAATTTCAAAATCAGAAATTTTTGAATAAAATATTGTTGAAAACATTCATATACTGGCAAGTTGTAGTGCTGTAACATAATTTTTATGATGAAAAACATATTAATCAACTAAGATGTTCAAAAGAGCTGTTCTTACATTAATTTAAATTCTGATATCTCTGCTGTTTTGCTCAATGTAATAATTACTAGCATGATTACAAAATAGGGAGAGTACATAAAAGGTTAAAAGAATGATCCTATAGTCTATCAATAAAAAGCAATGAGAAATGTATAAAATTACAACATTTACAAAAAAATCACCTAAACTTCTATGAGATGCATGAAGATAATGCCAATTTCTACTGTATTATATACCAGCCTCACATTATATTTGTTGTACCCACAACTTTAACTTTTTTCTACTGTAGGACCCCTTTTACTCTTCCAAAAAGAACTTGCAAATGTGTGCACAGTTTTACATTACTGCACATTATCTTGCTCTTCCTTTTATTTTTTTTCTCTTGAACCATTTTTTTTAATACTCAAAATAATTATAGTTCAGAAATGGTTTATGGACTTTTCATAAAAGTCAACATCTTCCCAAAAAATCTGTATATTTACAAATTGAAGAATTACACAGCATTACCCACATTTATATTAAAGGGATCTTTATAAGGTACATTCCCTGCATTTTAGTTTTAAATATTTGAAATATTCATATATGAAATACTGTCTGTCATAACTGCTTTTTTATCAAATACTGATATGGCTCCCAAGTTATGTTGGTACAACTCACATCTGTAATTCATGAATAAAGGTGTGTTAAGATTTACAAGACATTAATGTTTACATATTAACATTTAAAATATGTAGCATTTTTAACTTTAGATAGAACTAATTCTGTATAACTGATCATGAAATTAAACTGGAAAACTAAAGGAAATATAAAGTCATTAAATCCAAATTTATGATAAAAATCTTAATAACCTAGTCAAGGAATTTGTCACCTTTTATTTTTGACAAAAGAACATGAATACTCTTTTTATACACATTTGCCCTTGAACAATTAAAAATATACACCTGTATTTATTTGCACACAGTATTAATCTAACATGGACACAGAAAGGAAACAAATCCTCTGAATCAGAGGTGGCAAAAAGAAAAAGAAAAATTCATTCATTTGCATAGTGTGTCTCAGAGCTTAGTGTTCTATTTCCATTTTATGTATTAGGTCAAAGCCAAAATGTGAGTAGTGTGGAAGCTTGGAGATTGTGGGCAATTTAATACTGGCTGGGGTGTAGAGAGAAAAGGAGCATGGGGGATTCTATGACATATTCAATTTGCTTACTTCTTTGATAAAGAAATACCACATTGACATTGTTTGCATCTTTACTGATATGATAATAAATTTTATGTATAGTTTCATTTTAACTAAAGACATGATTCACACAAATATACGCATTTTTCTAAAGAATTAAGGAAAAAAGTTGATCTTACATAACTTTTATTTTGTGTAACATGTTAACTAAATCAGATGTTCTTGACAATTACATACAGGTTTTACCTTCAGCGCTATGGCCTAAAGTATTTATCATCCATACACTCTTTTAAGGCATGGTTACTGAGTGGCCTAGGCTGTTTTGGGGAACTGAAGAGATAGGATATATGTGATACTGCTCCTGTTTTTAAGGAACTGATAGTTTTAGAAAAAACAGATATAGAAATGTATCAATGCAGAAACCTTAAAAGTGCTGATACAAAAGTACTTATATAAAGGTTACAAAGAAGACACAGAGTGTCAGAAAGAGGAATAATAAAAAAAAAATTTAAGATGATCAAATTCATTTAAAGGCCTTTCTTATTTTTGTACTAACAATATCTTATTCTCTACTAAGAGGCATTTTCTCTATATTATCTCTTGGAGAGTTCCTGTTCAATCTAAACCCATTTAAGTACACAATGATCTACTTAAACCATGGCATTCCTTTTTAAAAAAAGTATCTTTAAATTTTGCTTATTCCTGTGCTTATTAACTATTTCTTCTATCACATAAGCATGATCAGGATTAACAGTATAATTGTGCTAATTTTACTAGCATCAATTGTTTTTCAAAAAAAAAAATAAAATGAAGTGACTTTCTCTATTTGCAACCACAAAAACATCATTTCTAATGAGAATCCTGCAAAAAGTATTAAAATACTAAATAGGTAGGTTTTAAAATTAATTTTGATTAACACAAACATTTAGACACACATTTGTTTCTTTGCCATATGAAAGCTCAGTTACAGTTTTATAAAGGAACAAAGGTATCTGTAGACATATTTCTTCATGACAGGAAAATTAACTTGCATAAAGCCATATCTTAAATGCAAAACAAATTCCATTTTAATTAAAGATAACTCAGTTATTAGTATGCACTATTTTATTTAGGGTTGCTTGATTATATATACTTATGTATGACCTGACATTGACAAAGTAAATCCTATTATTAGTAAGTATCTTTCATTTATTCAGTCAGCTGGTATCTGATCTTCCTTCTGGTGACAATGTGACACTAGTTTTCCTCTGGGAAACACCCTATCTCATTCTTAGTGCATTTGCTTCCAGTAAGGCTGACAGTATATTAAAGTCCCTAAGAGTGATACATGACTGTGGGCTGACTTAACACAATTTCTATGCCCTCTGCATTTAATGATTTGGGGTTAAGCATGTGACACAGGATGGTTCAATTAAGAGGTGGCCTAAGAACTTGGTAAAAATGTAGGCACAGAGGTATCTGTGTTCTTAATTTAGTAGAACACAAACTTAATATAATGGTGAATATCTTGCTATCATCTGGAAATATGAAGACCCTAAGTGAAAAAAAAAATGAATCTACATAAAGAAATAATCCAGAAATAGAGAAACTTGACAATATTCTGGTACTTCAATCAAAACATATCTAAACCCAGCACAGGATGAATAGAACCCCCCTTTTTGTTCAAGCCATATTTGAATTTTATTTCTATATATTGTAACCAACCAGTTAATACCTTTGAAAATATTGTCTGTATTGTTGTCTATTTTTTGTCTACCCCAAAGTAGTACTGATATTTTATGTATCACTTGATGCCTTAAAAGTCAAGATATCAAAATTCTAGTAAAGAGCCCCCAGTGAATTACCTTACTTTTTGTGAAGATATACCCTTCATGATCCAGTAGAACAGATCTCTTTCATTTCCCAAATA